GGGTGCCACACACACAACATGAATAGAAAAATTAACGGAAATAATGTTAGAGAATAAAGTTAAACACACAAATATATGATTTAGAGGGAAAGGGATCCTTCGAGGATCCTTTTCCTAGGAATCTTAGGGATTTCGCAATCGTATCCGTTTATTGTACATTATGAGGTCAATTTTCGTTAGGTACTATTTATATTTGAATTTTAAATTTTAAATAATTTCTGATCGCATGATGTACGATGAATGGACACGATTGCGGTATCCCTAGGATTCTGTTGATCCTAAAACTACCTAGCCTATGTGGCGCGTAGGCCAAGTAATTAATAAGTTAACTACGTCATTCGGTTGTGTGCGGGGCGTGCCAACTCGTCAGCTGAGTTCTGCCAGGGAGTAAAATATGTTGATGTGGCTTTGGGCGCGTTGCTGATTTCTTAATATCGCAACTGCAGCCGAGGAAGGAACATGTCTCGGCCGTCGGGTTCTAGAGCCTGAGACAAGGCTGCTATTTCTGCGGTTCTAGAGCCTGAGACAAGGCTGCTATTTCTGCGAAGTTCAACATCAAATTCAGCTTTCAATGTGTCAAACGTAGTAACCTGGTAACACCTCACTTCGCCGAGAAGGTTGATGAGATGACATCTACCAATAAGGACTCGAAAATCCTTGTCGACCGAGACTTGGATAAATAATCAGTCGTTCTCGAAGTAGTGTTGTTTATCCAAACTGAAGGTGCTCCTTAATCAGCTAATTCTACGGCTCTAATGTTGTTTATCCAAACTGAAGATGTCGTTGGTTGCCTTTATAGTGCTGTTTATCCAAACTGAATATGTGTTGGTGAGAAGAAAGGGGAGAAGACAAAATCTCAAAGGTTGTTGAAAAACTTTGCACTTGACAATTTGTGTGTTGAATTGGAAGGGGCTTTAAATATTGCCTACGACTCTGTATTTATAGCATCCATACTTTTTTGCTTGAAACGGCCTGATAATTTCGTAGAAACCAACTGAAACTCAAACTCGTAGGATGAAAGACTGATATGTGGCATAGGCTAAAGCCTATCTTCCAGATGGCTGACTTTTCAATCAAAATAAAAACCTAATCCAAGCTTATCCCATCATGACCAAAAACCTAGCCTACCTAAGCTTCTTAGCTTATCATAATTCCATCACCCATCCATGCATCCTGATCCCGTTTAATGAATTTCAAATTAAGGCATATACTTATCCAATTTGCTACTGGAACTTATCCTATCTGCAAGTTAACTCTGCATGCATGAAGACCATGCACCCCAACAATTCTATCCAACCCCCATGCTAATATATCCACTATCCAGCCGTGACCATGCATGAAGGTCATATGCCTATATTCCATCATCCTACGAATCAATCGAGATTTAGACAAATATTAGGTTTAAATAATTTAATATATTACTAAGAGATAATATCATGATTAAAATCACAATATACACTTGTGAGGAGTATAGAATGAGAATTTTGGAGTGCCAATAACACTTCCCAATAACAATTGAAAATCATTTCAAACACTTTGTCATTCAACGGTCTAAAATTTTGCTGACTCAATGGTCTTGATTACTTGGACCGATGATATAATTTTGGGTCCAAACAGATCCCTAGGAAAAGGATCCGGCGAGGATCCTTTTCCGATTTAGAGGGCAAGCTGAAATAAAATAAGTTTCGGGAAGTAAAGTAGGACCCAAAAACGAACACAGATCCTCTCCGGATCTGTGCAACCGGAGCCCGGGGATCAATAGATCCGAACCATTGAAATTTGATTCAACGACTATAATTATTATAACTTTTAGGAGAGCCCCTTGTTTGTAGTCGTTGAATCAAATTTTAATGGGGACGAATCCAATTATCCTCGGGCTCCTGTTGCACGGATCCTGAGAGGATCTGTGTTCGTCAAAAACACTTTTAGTGGGCACACCTGTCATTAAGCATAAAATTAAGAAACCTCTAAATGTGAAATAGGCACAAAATCTTTCTCTATTTCAATTTGGTCCCCCATCCCCCACCCGCACCCCAACCCAACCATCAGTGCTCCTTATTGTCTGACATTCGACCCCTTCGATAGCGAGACGAGTCACATCATTCTTCTTCCGTAAAATACACACAAAACACAACCCAACACCCACTCACCTCCTCCTCCTTCTTCGTTCTCTCTGTTTTGTTGCCGCTGCAACGTTCCTCTCAGAGCCGGTCGATAAATTTACAGTCAATTTTGTACAGCAATACGCAGAAAATACAAGATTGATTAATTCGCAAGGCACCGAAAATTCAAATATTTTCTGGTCCGATTAGATGTTTGATCTGATGAGAAGAGTAACTGTAGTATGATAGGAGCTGTGCAATTAGGGGTGTTGGCTGCGTGCGTCGTCGTTTTGGTCCCAATGGCCATGGCCGGATACCATCTCAGCCGCAACAAGATGCTGTTCTTCAGCGGCGCTCTCTTCATCACTCTCGCCATCGGCGTCCACCTCACCCCTTACTTCCCCACCGTCAACGACTTCGTCACCACCGTCTCCTCCGTCGTTGTCTTCGAGAACCGCCGCGACTCCTGCCTCTCCCACCTCCACGACGTCGTTTGGGAGGTAACCCCTTCCCCCAATTTCAACCCCCTCGACAACAACACCGTCAATTACGACAAGTCGTGGGCTTGGGCTTCTTCCTCCGCCGTTTCTGCATGTGGGTTTCAGAAGCTGGGTCGTTTCGACGCCTCCGATCTGCTCAACGGCTCGTGGGTCGTGGTGGCCGGAGACTCTCAGGCGAGGCTGGTGGCGCTTTCGCTATTGAGTCTGGTTCTGGATTCTGGGCCTCTGGAGATGGTGAACAAGGATCTGTTCAAGAGGCACAGTGATTATCAGATTGTGGTGGGTGAGATCGGGATGCGATTGGATTTCATCTGGGCTCCTTACACTGTGAATTTGACCAATCTGGTGACGAAATTCAAGCGAAATCGGAACTTCCCCGATGTGTTGGTGATGGGTTCTGGGCTATGGCACATGCTGCACTTCACCAACGCTTCAGATTTCGGTGTTCAATTGCAATCACTCAGGAGGTCTGCGGCGTCCTTGTTGCCAGTTTCGCTGGAGACCGGCTCCAATAAGCCGGAAACCAGCTCGGCTTCAGGCTCTGGTTCGGCCCGGAGGCCGCACTTGTTCTGGGTTGGCATGCCCACGTTGATAAACTCAATGTTGAATACGGAGGAGAAGAGGGAGAGGATGACTGATGCAATGCGTGGCGAGTATGATAAGGAGCTTCAAAAGAGTAAGCTTATTCGGCAAGCCGGCGGTCCCCTTTGGTTACTGGACATTGAGTCCCTGAGTTGGAATTGCGGGGTTCGATGTACGGTCGATGGAATGCATTATGATATGCCTGTTTACGAAGCAGTGCTGCACATCATGCTCAATGCATTGCTCATCGAGTCTCACCAGAAGCTTTGATTTGATTCTTTTTTGTTTTCTCTTGGTATATGTCCTGTTCCGGTTCGGTGGTTTGATTTCATACGGGAGAGCTTTTGATTCATGGGGGAAGTCGGTTGGCTCCTTTGCTTCCTACTTTTATCGTGCATCTTCGGTTTCTGCCAGGTTTTCTCTCTTCGCCCCGGATTAACTCAGTATAGTTTATGTGAGATAGTAATTGAGATTGAAATTCATTTGTATCTTCATTGCATTTATATAAATATTGAATCTACTTACACGTATTGTGTAGTCTATACTCAAGACAATACACATCCGTTGTTGAATCATTCAAAAGGAGCTTCCTGGATAGAAAATACATGCTCCTTTTCACACTTTTTGTAGATTATAGTGGACACGAAAATTTTTGTTGTTTTGCTTCTATTGTGCTTTCTTTGCTAGCTTTAACCCCGGAGCGAGTTTATGGTTTTGCACCATGTTTTGAATAGTTGTGAATGTATGGGCCCTTCACCTTTCTGCTACTGATTGTTACTTATGTTCTGCTTTTATTCTTAAGGAATCCAATGCTCATGAAGCTTGTAGTGTTTACCTGTATGCGAGGTTTATGCAGTAGGCATCCATAGAAGTAGCTGCTCTCTTTACGAAAAGTTATGAAACTTGTTAGATAAAGTGTACTCTAAGTAAGCAAGCTAAATAAGTATATAGAGAACACTAGTGATACCTCCCAAAATACTACAACATGACAGATTGCTTGCCTGCAAGTATGACTGGATGCTTGGAACTTGTATGTTATCCCATTCTTCGGGCTAGGTTGAAACGAACTTACGAAATTAATCTGTTAGAAAGATGATGATTGCCATTCAGGAAGCGTTTGGTTTTTCCTTTCTATATTGGGGATGATCAAGAGAAGAACAGAAAGACAAAGGGGAAAACTATTCATCCCGAAGAATAATTCTTGTATTGAAACCTAGTAGTTGGACTTCATTTTGAGAATGGGTTGCGTGGGGGAGGGGTTAATCCTAACGTGTTCGCATTTAGGGTCTTTTTCTTAAACCGGTAAGAGAAAACAGTCGACGATCTCTGGTTACCATAGGACCTTGCGAACGACAAGCAGGTTGAAGTCTGTTACGATTGAGAGAACATGTTCGTGTAGATTTTTTCAAAAGTTTTGTTGACGAGTCCATCATCGCTTGTGCTGAGTAAATTCTGTGGTGTTTTCTGGTGTGCGCGTAACATGTTCTGCTTCTGGTGTTGTATCTGTTGGACAATGTAATTGGTTCTTTCAACTCTCTGTAAGATTCTTGTTCTGTGGATGAATTTAAAGTACAGGTGCTTAATATTCGAACTGACTCAAAGTTTGATGATTACTGATGTGTTTTGGGATGACCGGAAATGGGAGCGGCTCCGACTCCTCTTCGTGTCACTCTAATTCCAGGTTAGTAAGTGAATATGTCATTAGGTTCGTTCGTTGGAGTTAGCTGCTGCAAATTTCTGCGAATATTGCACGTAGCCGTGAATACGACGAGAACAAGTTAGTTAGGGGTGCACCCCTTGTGACCAGCAAGCACAATTGCAAACACGCCTAACAAAACTAGATTAAACCCGAAGAGGAAAATTCCGCAAGACATTTGAACCATGGATCAATCGACCATAAGCAGAACAAAGAAATTTATCACTACTGCAAAATATACTCTTGCCTGCACACCCTGCCGCTATCAGACCACTGAATTCATCTCCCGAGACCCGCAAGCCGCTACCCTAGCAACCGGAGCAGTTCTAGCCCAATCCCCTATCACCGTCCCTAGCTGGTCTCGCATCATTACACCCAGTCGACACTTATTGAACTATAATAATTCTATAGCATGCCCTGAGCATCAGCATGACACCATAATCCGGAAGGAACCTATACCTCAAGCATCTCGGTTTACTTTCCGGGGCCTTTTGATAGTTAAGCTTCGACACACATCTCTGTACAACATCATCTGCAATTTAACTATATTTTTCCTACTGAAAGAAAGTAGAATAAACATAGGATAGTGCTATTCACACTCATTTTCACTTCCTACACACCCTTGTTAATTTTGGCCATTGATCTTCTTTAATTTATTCGATCTTGCACTATTTCGTCAAATGGTGCTTTTAAGACTCAAACTGCTTTCCTTCAAAGGTCTGCCCAAAGTTCCAAGCCTTGGGAGCAACATTGTAAGATGTAATTGTGCGGCCATCACTGCTTGTGACCTCGAAAGAAAGAGGTTGGTTCAGTAAATCAGCACTTACATGCCAGTTTTGGCCCCAATTCCGTCCCATTGGAAGCCAACCGGTTCTTGAACCCTTGACCTTCACCGCAACTATGTCTCCAGCACCAGCAACATTGCTGATGAGTACTGATATAAAGATGTTAGAACCATCTATGGTGAAACGAATTCCTCCTTCCTTTCTACACTTGATCCTATTTAAAACAAAATGATCAAGAACAAGCGGAATAAATCTCAGAATGACAGAAGTCAGGTCAGAGATTCAAACATAAATGCCAAAGCATCGCAACAAATGCTGATCCAACCATGCACATGCATGCACTTGTACACAACACATACACTCGTTTATTCATTGAGAATGGACATCACAAGTTCTGCCTCTTAAATTTTATCTGCGTTCCTACAAAACAAATACCAAAACTCTACAAAAGGACTACAAGAACACTAACAATTGGATAAGGAACTTTAAACTTCCATGGACCTTTAGACTCAATTGTTAAAAATGCGCTACAAGAACACTAACAATGAACTACTCAAGCACTACAAAGATACTACCAAAAAACACCACAGATGCACTACAAAGACAGTAAACAAAGAACTTTCAAATGATGCATCGTATCCTATAGGCTAATTCCAAATTTGCGTCACAGAAGCGGTGTTACTAGCAGTTAATCAAAATTAATACCAATTGGGCAGATACCATCACCATTTTCAGCTGTTTTAATTAGATACAAACCTTGTTTTAATTTTTAATTTTTAATTTTATTACAAGCATTATCACTATTATAATCTATACTAACGGAAATGGGAGAGTATGAACCAGGACGCAATGGGTTAACGAGGAACACTTTATCCACCACTTTGCACAAACCTTGTTTGCATGGTAGAGACAAGTTGCTATTCTAATGCTACCATTTTCAAACGTTTTCTTTTTCTCGAAGAAGAGGACCAGCTGGCGGATTCGCCACGGCATTCGTCATTCCGAGGCCAAGAAGTCTCACAGAGGCAGCCTCCTTTGGCCACCATCGTGTGATTCACCAACGCCAAGAAACAAACCTAGACGCACCGTGTGAAATACCAGCCTGAAATTCGTCCCAACAATTGAACCACCCCGCAGCGGTTACCATTTTCAGTAGTTATAATTAAATTTTTTAAACGCCAACAACTGAATCACCCCATGGTGGTGGTTACCATTTTCAATAGTTTTAAATAGATTTTTATGTGCCAACAACTTGGTGTTGAATCAAATTCACCATTTTCAATTGTAATTTTCAAACATTATTTTCAATTATAATTCACATTTAAGACACCAAAAGCATTCTATTTTGACAACATAGGAAAAATAAATAAATAAAAATAAAAGAGTAAAGTAGAATGCAACAAAAATGGATGCCGAAGCGTGAAAGCAGAAGGACCAACCTGCGATACTGGACGGCCATATTGCCAGCCTTCCAAACAGCGATCTTCTCAAAGGCCTCGATGGGCAACACCAAGTGCTTGTTCGGAGAGTTGCAGTGGCCCCCACCCTCCGCCATGAGTCCGTAATTCGGTGCGCAGAAGTTGGTCGCCGTCACGATGATCGACGTCCCCGGAATGCACCATCGGGTGTCCTCCACGCACCGGACCTCGAAGCATGCGCCGCAGATCTGGCCCCGCTCGAACAGCGCCTCGCTCAGCCCCACCGTCGCCAGCCCGTACCCGGCCTTCTCGAGGTCTCCGTAGCCGCACGCGCCGCCCACCTTGTCGCGGGGGTCAGAGGCGGCATAGTAGGTGGCGCGTGCGGAGCTCCAGTCGTAGAGGGAGGAGGAAGCGGTGGGGAAGGAAGAGGAGGAGGAGTGGAAGTGGGAGAGGGCGGTAGAGGTGAGCGCGAGTGGGAGGAGGAGGAGGAGGAGCAGGGGGAGAGCTGCCGGCCACATTTCTGGGCTTGTTTGTTTGAATGTCGTCGGCTTTTTGTTGTCGGTGTTATTAATTCGCTTTCTTCTTGAAGGAAGGATTAGTGTGAGTAAGAGAGTGACCCAGAGAAAGAGAGACATAGTGACTGCAGCTGCTGGTAAAGACGGAAAGATAAAAACTTTTTCTTTTTTTTCTTTTTTTTTTTTTTTTTTTCTTTCAAATGATATTATTTACCGTTAAAATGTGAGCTAATCTTATAATATGCTAGTAATAACACGTTCAATTCTCACCAAATATCTCACTTACAGGTAAACCAAAATACCAAAAGACATTTTGAACTTTTTATTTATTTACAATGGTGGGGTTGGGGTAGGTAAATCTGCAAGGAGCGTTTTGAAATTAGCAAAAAATAATGGGGGTAATATTGGTTCAAAAGTTGGATTTCTGATGCGCTTCATTTATGAGGAATTTGAATACCACCTTAGTATCAAGAATCCAATTCCCCAAGTTTAAGAGTTTTGATTCTTCATTTTAGGTGGAGAACAGATGGACTTAACCTCACAATAGGTTAGCAATTGAAACACTCTGATCTTGGTGTCTGAAGGACAAAGAGATGGTCACGTGTTGGTCGACACTTGAGGGTAACGCAAGCTATTTAATGAATGCATATGCCGAAAACATGTGAAACATGCATATAATTTTTGCACTTAACCACGCAATATAATATTCAAGTACAAACCTTAACCAAATATAAAAATCAACTGCCAACAATTTAAAAGTGATGATGCATGACATGTTCATAGCATACTACTAATTCAAAATACAAGTGGAAGGAATACTAGAATGTGCAATTACAAGAGATGTCCTACACAGAGAGGAGGACACAAATTCACTAATATGAGCATAGTCTGAAATATCGATAATATCAACGAAATATCGAGGATATTTCAGTTTTTTCAAATCACGGAAATTTCGGAACATATTCATGTACATATCGTACAAATATCGACAATATCGACGATAATATCGGAAAATATCGATGTCGATAATTTCGCTCACACTTCAGCAATATTTTATCAAAATATTTGTTTAATATCGCTAAAATATCGAAAATATTGATGTAAAGGAAGGGAAAAAAAGGGAGGGAAAAAAAACACAAAGGTGATTTGATCCCCTCCCATTTTACTCCTCCAACACCTTAACCACAATATATCACTTATGTTTTAGTTATAATATGCTAAAATATTTATATTTATATGAGTGGCATGTTAACAATTACATGCAAAATTATTTTGGGGATTTATCATTTGATGAATACTCTTCACAATAAACTTACTCTACACATAGAGATGATGAAGATAGTGAAAATTTTGAACCTCATAGGAACTTTATGTGGTACTAAATCACTCATGTATCTTACCATGCAATGTATAAAGTGTAAAATATTGTAGTAAATCATTATATATAAATGATTATGGTGTGTTTAATCTTTTTTTCATTAATTACTACATATTTTCTACACTCACAGTTAAATCCATCATGTAATGCATTTCGTTCTAATTTTTTTTGATAAACTAATAGATAATTGACTAAATAAACACTTCTAGGCGTGAGACCTAAGAGAAATGCTAATAACAATTCTGTTATTAAAATAGGGATTGCAACTAATTATCTATAATTAATTTAATTAATTGTCACGGTACTAATAACAATCCCCTTGAACCCGAGCCCACTAGGCGTGAGACCTAAGAGAAATGAGGCTTAAAAAGGCCCAAGAAAAGCCCAATGGGCTATTTTTGACAGACTGAATTGTCAAATGCTCTCTTATGCATAAACTTTTGAACATTTACATTCTCATAATCGAAGACGGTGATATGGCAAGTATGAGCTTGAAGACGATTCATTAAAGCAGCAGCGTCATGTCCGTGACTAACTAATTTGAGTCGTTATTCAGCTTAGCAAGTCAATTAGGCGTTTGACTTTGGGAGGGGTGATAAGGGCGTCATGTAAAATCTCGTTTAAAGAAATTCACAGTTACAAACAAGGAAGTGAATGAGAATTAATAATATGAAAGCTTTAGTACCAAGTCCTGGGTGTAAACAGTAAAACAAGGAGATACAAGTAATGGCAAAGTAGCCTTTTAAAACAGTGGGAGGTCAAAACCACCACTTCTTATCATATTAGAATTTCCAAGGCCAAATGAAAGCTACTACTGGCTGCATTCAATCTGAGTCATCCACCAGTGGCAGCTCAAAAACGATAAACGTCGTTGTCAACCATACGCTAACGGCACACGAACATGTTCCTAACTTGTTCTGTGAAAAAAGGGCAGGGCCTCGAGTCTTGACTAACACCAGAAAACTCTACAAGGAACCCCAATACCGGCAGGAGGGCACTAAAAGGAAAGGCGGACTCTTTTCCCATCCCTGTCCTCACTTGCCATTGTTGAGGACTTGGCGTCTCTCTCGGCCACACATCTTTTGTACGGGACAAATCCTTTTCTATACTTTCCGGTGCTTGCTCTTAATACCGAGAAGGCGGAGTTTGCACTCACCTTGAATTGAAGAACCGAGTTTGGCTCTCGTTCTTTGTCAGAAACATGTCGATCGCCCTGTGTCTCAACTTCTTTGTCACGAATTTCGTCATCACTGGCTGTTCCCGCATCTGAACCGGTACAAGAACCTTCCCTCTCAACTTTCTTAGAATCAACATCTTCATTCACTGGCTGCTGCTGCATATGGAATGGAATAAAAGGCGGACATATGTTCCACCATGGTACAGGATAAGCATTAGTACCAGATTCTACTACATTTGAGTTTTGATTCTGAAATTGCATAAAGTAGATGCCTTGATGTCTGCCATAGGGAAAATTATCCCAAACGTGTTCTACACTCCCGGATGCAGATTCCATATCTGTATGGTTACATGGTAATGATGTCTGCACAGGTTTCTCCTCTTGCACATCAGAAGGCAGTGATTTAGAATCCCCCGCAGCTCGAGAAGATGGTCTGTGGGAGTCTGTGACTAATACAGTCCTTCCAAAGAGCTTAAGGGTTCGGGCAGATGCCTCCTCAGCTGAACCTCCACTAGCATCAACATCATCCGTGGCAAATAACTCGAGCTTCTGGACATTTTCAGCAAACACAACCAGTAGAGTATCAACATCAAATAAAAGGCTTATTCTTTTTGAAAATTTGAAAGATATGCCAAAGAACAAGCATATACCATTTTTAATTGCTTGTTAGGAAGCGAGCAATTGTTAATTGTAGATCCGCTTTCCTCGAGTGATGGGTTGGGCTCAGAAGGAATTAAGTTCCCACTATTGACACCAGCAGCAGATGAATCAGGGGATAAACCATCACTAGGTGTACTTGAATCAGTTGAACCCATTGCATCTGAGCCAATCACAGATAAGACTGACTTTGGAGATTGGTTTTCTTGCTCCAAAACAGATAAATTTGGAGATGTGGACATTGCTGACTGCTCTACAGTGGAGGTCTCTTTATTAAGAGGGTGTACAAGTTTTCGGGGATAAGGACGCATTGGCTTCCTCTTTGGTCGCGGAGGAGGTATGTCAATGGGCTCTTCTGAGGCTGTGTTTCCACCATTCGGGTCACGAGCAACCTACAAGAGAGAACCGAGGAGTCAGAATAAACATCAAGCAGGAAAGCATGGACCCTTCAAGTACGGTTTACATGCCTGGAGTCAACGAAATTGAACTTACATTAATCGATGGGGATATAGATATTATGGTATAAGAGCATAAACCTTAGAAAAGAATTTTTGAGCATGACTTCGAATCTGAACTGCAGTCTTTGTGACAACATGGTCTGTCATCAAAACAGAATATTTCAGCAGACAGCAGATAGATCATAGATGTTCCTTAAAACAAGAAATCAAATATGCTCAAACCAACAAGTGAGATGCAATCTCATCCAACTTTTTATGGCCGAGACTTAGTAATAAATTGCTTGTTGACGCTTTTCATACAAAATTTACCTTCAATCTTTCGCCAGGCACGACCGTAGAGCTTTAAAGCTTCAAGGAATTTCTTATGCTCTTCCTCAGTCCATCTCTCTCTCTGTTTAGTGATTGTGTATGGTTTTCTCACCTATTAAAATCCAAAAAACAAAAGGCAAGTGAATAAAGCTTGTCTTAGAACAATTACTCATGATTCTAAGTCCTCTATTGGAGTTGGTCTCACAACAACTAATCATGATTTTGATCAACAAAATAACCTGCAGATGTCGGTTAGGCCGGACGCTGGTTAGAAAATGCGATTACGAGACAGATAACAAAGTAAAATAGAAACATTGAGACTGCAAAAGATTAAAACCTTGGGAGTAAAGTCGTTTCCACTAGAGAACTGATCATCCTTCAACTGGACCCCACCAGCACTCACTAAGATCCCATTGCTAGCTGAGACAACACCATCTGAACCAGTACCAAACTCATCCTACATAAAAAGCAATACATAATTAAAAATCTACCATAAATATTAAAAACTTCAACAGTAAAAATTTCCACAAGGAACCGTACAGATTCAGAAAAAGGGTTCTTTCAATTCATCTCCCCCTTCAAAGAAATACCAGAAATTCTCCAAATTCAAATAAATTCATAAATTCAAATCCTAAGTTTATACATAATTAACAGTCCAAACTAAAAGTAAATCCCAATAGCAGTTGGTGGATTTCAACTCCTGCTCCTGCCGTAAGCGTAGCTTAAAGTAATAATATCGCTTTTAATAAAAAAAGGCAAATCCCTACGGAATTCGATGACCCATAGAAAATTTCACTGAAACAGGGTCCGCAGGTTATAATATGAGATAAATTCAGTAATATGTGGATACATACTTGAGCAGCCATGTCTGAAGATCCCATTAAGCAACCCACCAAGCAAAGTAGACCTCTTCCTCAACTCTCCGCGATACGACACCGTTTCTCCTTACTCCTTGAGCTTGCAAAAACCACAGCAAAACCTTGTCTTTTTCTTCCCCACACTCATACACCAGGAAAATACTCATAAATCTACACTCTTTCGGTTCAACCACCCGGTTCTCTGAGCTCTCCGGTCCATTTCTTAAAACTTGACTCTCACAAAAACCCCTCCATGCCTCCTACAGCTCCCCGGTCCTCAAAAATTGGAGTCGATTTCTTGCTTCCGAAAAGGATACAAGGACTGGGTTTCACTTGGATGGCAGAAACGGCAAAAACCCAAGTGATAAAAATACTGAAAAAATAAAGAAGGAGAAGGCAAATGAGGAGGAGAGAGGAAGCTCTAGAGAGAGACTGTATTAGAGGGAGAGTGGTGAATAGTGTGTGCGATGAGAAAAATAGAAGAAACCAGGAGGTGCCACGTCAGAATCGTCGTTGTTTTTTATCTCTTTTTGGATTTGTTTTATGTATTTTTAATTTTAATTATTTTTTTGTTTTGGTGAGAAAATAGAAAGCTCGAGAATTCCATGGAATCTTGTGGCTGTCGATGAAGGAGGCGGTCGGCACGTGGCGGGCGTCTGTCTTGACTTCCTCCGCTGGGTGCGAGAAAATTCAGCCACCACTGGATAATTACGCCACCAGATACCAGAAGCTCTACTCGCAGCGGAAACACTACAGCTACTGTACTCGCGCTTTTATGGCTCACACGTCACTTTCTTTATCAGCCAACTCACTTCTTTCTCCAAAAGTTTCCAAATCATCATTCAGTTTAGATAATTTTGAGAAAGAAAAATTCCAAGTCATCATTCATTTATCTTTCTTCAATTTTTATTTGGTAAGTACGAACGATTTTTTACACTAAATTATACTAAAATAAAGGAAAACAGTTTGAAGTTAGAATGTTGTGGGTTAAAAAGAATGTTATAATAACATGGATTGAGATCTCGTGTTCAAAACAGGAAAACCAAGAAATCTTAAAACCTTAGACAACACATAAATTACTTAAAAAGTAATTATCAACAGTAGGATGTTTTTTCCGCTTTATCGATATTGCTAAAAACCAACTAAGCTTGCCCCAGCTTGACAATTCCTTTGATTTGCTTACTAAGGCCTAGCTTACTAGAAGGAAAAAAAAAAAAGGATTTTGGATGGTTAAGAGATGGATAAAGAGATTCAGGCCGTTTAAGTTTTTAAAATTAATATTGAGTGGTTCGGATTTTTCATTTCATAAGTTCTGGATACATAAATCTAGATATATATCAATCTTAAAGATGAATTTCAAGTGTGAAATTGTACGTACCCTACGTCACTACGGGCACCAAGAAGGTGGAGCAACCATGAATCAGCATGTGAAGGAAAAAAAAATTTCCAAAATAAAATAAAAAATAAGATAGTTCCAGCTAAAAATTAAAATTAAAAAAATAAAAAAAAAATGAGAAAAGCTGCGAATGATATTTTGTGGTGTGGGATAAACGCTAAAATATCTCGCACCCAAAATAGCAAGCGAGTGGGACAGAGAAACAAAAAGGTAGGCCAAGAGTTGTGGATTACGTAAAAAATCCAAATTAATAATTAAAAAATAAAGAAATATAAAAAAATATAAAAATAAAAGAGATGAGGTTGAAACTGAGGAGTTTTGGTGCACTTTCTCTTTCTATATGCGCTTTTGTCCACGTCATCTCCACTGACCGCCCCAAATTCTATTGTCCGCGGGCACGTGTGCAGGAGCGAAACGATGCTTCTAGGCCGTAGCTGGGCCCCATCCCCATGGCTAATAACAGTAAATCGTTTTTGTCCACAAGTTTTGGAGGGTGTTTTGGTAAATTCGACAAGCTGCCATGTGTCGCAGAACGTGGACGGCTCCAGGCAAGCATTCAACGAGAGGCTCAAGATCTTTCTATTAGATATTCGCTTTGTGGCTGAAATGGGAGTTGAAATTTCTGCATCCACTTTTTTGTGTGGCATTTTTATGACGTCACTATTTTAATAAACTTAACTTTTTAAATTTTGAGGGAATTGTTATTAGCATTTCAAATTCTCATTATGCATTTCAAACTTTCTATATTTAAAAAGAAAAATACAATTGTGAGGAGTGTAGAATGAGATTTTTGGAATACTAATAACACATTCTAATTTTTATTGCTATAAACCTTACACTCGAAGACAACGGAGGAGTCACTCACAAAATGGGTGCTAATGTTTTGCGTGATTTGTTAATCCAACTCGAAACAACAAGAGTCATCATCATGTCACTTGTTAAGTAATTGAGAAAATAACAAATTTAACATGATATGACTTATGGCTGGTTTGGTATTGCAGTATTTTGAAAAAAAAAATTGTTTCTGTTGTGTTGTAAGAATAAACTCATTTTTGTTACTTCACGTTTTCAACTTTTTTTTTTTTTATCCAAAACTACGAAAATAAATTGTTTTTAAATGTTTACTAAACATATTTTTGAACTCAACTTTTTTTTTATAAAAACACATCAATATCAAACTTGTACTTACTAAAATACAATACAAAATTCATATAAACATAACTCATTTATCAGGCCAACTTGAGTACCCAGCTGACGTCGGAAGGTTGGCTTATCTACGCTAACTAATTATTAAATTTAATATCGATCACTTTTCAGTATTTTACTTGATCGATATGTTCCAAATGTACCTTTGAGGCTGAGGGCCTTCCTTTGGGCGCCCATTGATCCGGCCCACGCTCTCATCGCAGTCCAACAACAACCACAGCAAAAAGAGGACCCTCCCTCGAAAAACCACGAATTTAGGCTCTGTCTTTTGTTGTTAATCTTTTATTCAAATAGTTTTTGTTTAAATTATCTCAATTAAATTTTTCGAGCATTTTAACTTAAAAAAAAATTCCAAATTTCAAAAATTATGATAAGACCAAACAATTTATAATATTGATCAGTAACTTTAAACTTTTGGATTTTTATTGTTGCAATTTTTTTCTTTAACGAACAATATTATCTACACTAAGAAGAATGAGTTGGCTTAGTCTTGTAATAGGTTAGCAATAGTGTGGTTCAGATTCGCCTTTGACGAGAATCGAACCTAAGACCTCTCACTTACAAGTGAAGAAGAATATCATTAGACCGTAGTATTAAATGACTTTATTGCAAATTTTTAATGGAAAGAGAATGACCAAACTGTTATAGGTTACAACTTATAAGGTGCCTTGGGCCGAAAAAAGTGCGTCCCAGTTCTTGAGCTGCTCAACATTTGGACCTCCAAACACACATACTTTTTGGGGAAAGGATCTCCTGAATATCGGGTAGCTATCGTTAAACTTGATAGAATACTTTATGAAATAAGCGGAGTAGCAAAAAATATAACTAAAGGGGCTATTTCAATAGCAGTATCTAAAATGCCTAAACTTTGCCACGCACTTGGGGTCCTTCTTCATTGAAGGGGACCGATGGGCCCCATGGTCATCTCTTCCCCTTGGGTGTATATTTGGGCCTACAGATATGACACCAAAATAAAATAAAAAATGAAAAACAAAAGAAAAAGGTGTTAAACTATAGACGCGGCAAAATTGGTTTGAAAGTTATACCATCGTGAGAGAACAAGAGCTGTAGTTCCATCGGAGTTCCATTTTCTTGATCAGCTACTAATTAAAGATTCATGACCCGTTTTTCTTGATATCGAATTCAAAGTTATTGATTACATTTTCTGATCACCTGATGATTAAGAGAATATTTTTATTATTATCAATACCTCAATCTTATAGCATCTGATTTTACGTATTAATATCAAATGAATTATTCATGTTATCAAACTCAACAAAAATATAACATCTCATCATCATCTATATGAGTTGAACATGAACTTCGCACTTACTAGAGAAAAATAATGCAACTAAACAATAGTATTAATTGAAACATGCTTGCATATGATGGAACCCATTTTGTAGAAAGGAGAAAAAAGAAAAAAAACACAAAGAAATTAAGAAATAAAATCACAATATTATGCAGCCAGTTCATTAGAGGAGGAAAAGAGTTTAATTTTACAACTGTAATGGGGTAATGCGCAAGAGTTTCATATAGTAATCCAATGAATCCTAGCAACGTCACATAAATTTATAATGCAACGTGATGATGTGTTTGTCACAGTAATAAATTCCTCAGGGATTTAACACAAGCAATGACGTTCAGACAGTTAGTCAGATGCGGATCGGACGTCAATACAAAACTCGTGCGGTGGGGGAAGGGAATTGAGGTGTCCGCTTTCCCCTTTGCCGGACAAAGGCGCCACTATTTTCTGAGATTAGACGAAGCACAACCAAAACGTTATGCTCGCCTGCATGTTCGTTCCAACCTTCAAAAAATTACTACCAATTTCCACTATTTACGTTTATTTATTTATTTTTTTATTGCCTATATCTCACTTATAAATACAGACCGCAAATTTTCAAATCTCGTTGTAACTCTCATTCCTCAACGTTCACACAGCACGTATCGCTTTGATCTCTCTCTCTCAAAGAATTTTGAAGCTCTCGCGCTGCTTCGCCAATGGCTACCGGTGTCATCGACAAGCTCAAATCTCACGTCGCTACTCTGAGCCAAATCAGGTAATGGCGGTCGAGTTTCCCGTTGGAGTCCAATTTTCTGGATTTTCATGATTTCTACGTTATCTGAGCTTGCTTGATTGATCTAGCTCTTCCCTTTTGCAGCGAGAATGAGAAGAACGGATTCATCAACCTCGTCGCTCGCTCCGTCAGGTGAACCGAACCGAATCGAATTGAATTTTCTTGTTTTTTTTATTTTTCTGTTTGGTTGATTAGAAAATGATGAGAAATTCGGCACTCAAATATGTGTATCTTGAGTGGCACTTTGATGGAATGTGATCTGACTATGCATGTTTCAGTGGAGAAGCACAGCATGTGGACTGGAGTAAGATCGAGACTCCTACGGACGAAGTAGTCGTTCCTCATGCTGGCTTGGAACCTGCTCCTAAAGGTAATTTTTGTCTTAATAATGGTTTTTTTGTTGTTTGGTTAATCAGTGATTTCGATTGTGCATTTTTAAATGTAAGATGCAAATCGTTATGATTTATCGGATTCTTGATCGATGCAGATACTGCGGAGATCAAGGCGCTTTTGGACAAACTTGTTGTGCTTAAGCTTAATGGAGGCTTGGGAACAACTATGGGTTGCACCGGTCCCAAGTATGCATTTAAATCTCGCCGTGATCACGCAATATATGAGCTGTTTTGCTTTATTGTTATACACTTATACTGCTTAAGTAG